ACAGCCTGTGCAAAGGCCCGGAGATGGGACAGAGTGGGCAGTGTTGGCAGGCATCACCGGCTAAGGTCAAGGTGCAGCGGGGTCACATTCCTTCCAGAGACTCCAGAAGAAATCTGATTCCCTGACTTTTTCAGTTTCTAGAGCCATCCACCTTCCCTGGCTCTGGGCCCCTTTCTCCACCTTCTCAGCCAGCACGGCCATTTTTCTGATTCCATCTTTCTTGGTCTTCCTCTTCCATTTCAAGTGATCCTTGTGATGATTTTGGAGCCACCCAGTGGTCTGGGGTAAACTTCCCAGTTCTTACTAAATTCCTATTTATGACCCTAATTCTGTCTACCGTGTGATGTAATGTGAACACGTCTCCATTTGTAAAGAGAGCCCTGCCAAAACACAGCCTGGGGGACTGCACGACTGAGACTTATGATGGTTTGACTTACAATTTCTCAACCTTAAGATCGCACAAAATCCATACACACTCAGTAGAAACAGTGCTTCAAATTTTGAAGTTTGAGCTGGGCACTGTGACTCACTCCTATAATCCCATCTACTCAGGAGGCAGAGATCAGGAGGATCGTGGTTCGAAGCCAGCGGGAGCAACCAGTTTCCGAGACCCTATCTCAAAAAAACACATCACACACAAAAAAATGGCTGGCGGAGTGGCTCAAGTTGGAGGCCCTGAGTTTAAACCCCAGTGCCAGAAAAAAATGAATAAATTTAAAGATTGATCTTTCCGGGCTAGCACTAGGAAGAGTCACCCTTGCTGTGTGTGCCAGCTGGCGGGTGTGGATTAATGCATGGCGCTTCGAAGTGCGTCTGTGACCCCAAGTAGCAGAGATGAGAATGTGGGGGCACTGGGGACCAATAGCTATCCCGTGATCTGGGCAGAGAGACCATGATTTCTCTGTTCTCTACGTCCTTAGCCAGTTGACCCATTGTCACTCCTTGTGAAGACCGTTATGTGCGCCAGTGTCCATCTCCCCCACAGCCCACTGTGGGACCGGGGTTTGAACTCAGGTCTTCATGCGTGCAAAGCAGGTGCTCCACCACTTGTGCCACCCCTCCACTCCATTTTAATGGGATTGGGGCAGCTCTGGGTTTTTGAACTTAGGGCCTCATGCTTGCTAGTCGAGATAGGGTCTCTTACGAACTCTTTGCCCAGGCTGGCTTCGAACAGCAATCCTCCTGATCTCTGCCGCATGAGTAACTGGGATTATAGGTGTGAGGCACCAGTGACTCAATTTTGCTCCAGTTATTTTGGAGACGTGGTCTCAAGAACTGTTTGCCTGGACTGGCCTCGGCCTGTGTGCCCCCTCCCCCCGACCTCAGCCTCCTGAGTAGCTTGGGTGACAGATGTGAGTCACCTGTGCTCCGCTTGTTTGAGTGTTTTTAGTTGCTTGGGTGATTTGACTGTGTGAAGGAGACTGGGCAGGCTGGGTAGGGAGGAGAACCCAGGGCACAGGCCGGCTCCCTGCAGCCCCTGTCCTGACCCTATTAGATGGAGCTGCACAGGAGGGAAATGTGGGGGGTGAGGTAGTGTAAATGATTGGGAGGCAGGGCACTGTCCCTTCTCTGTACCTCTGACCTGCTTGGTCTCAGGGACCCTCATGCCCAGCTCAACTTTGTCCATTCAAGCAGCTGAATCTTGCTGTCCTGCATCCCACCTGCCCTGTGACCTTGACTGTATTGTTTCTCTGTGCGGGGCCTCAGTTTCCTATTCTATGAAATGGGAGCTAAGCTGGGTTCAAGGATAACTTGAGCTGTGGTTGTCCCCAGGTTCTTCTCTCTAGGCCTGTGGGGACCCAGGCCAGCAGAGCCAGGCTGCTCTCTATCCAGTATCGTGGGCTAGCAGTGGGAGAGCCCCAGCCATCCAGTCACCAAGGCGTGGATGACCAGGGCTGGGCTCTGAGCCATGGCTGTGCCCTGGTTCTGAAAAGGCTGGCTGTGCATGTGTGTGTGTGTGCCCAGCTTGGACAAGACTGATGGGACAAAACTGATGGGCTGGCAGTTCCCTGGATCCTCACAGTCACTGCAGTCTGTTGGCAGGGCCTAGAGGATGCTCTCTTATAAATGGGGAACTGTGGCTCCATGCCTCAGAGACAGGACAATGGTGAATGGGTGGGACTGGACCTCAGGAGTCTAGACTGCCCTCCGGTGGTCTTCCAACTGCAGATAGCAAAGTGGGGAGTGGACTGGGGTTTCTTGCCACTGGCTTGTCTTCTCTGTGAGCGTCTCTGGGTGAACTGTCTGCACTGCCAGCACTACCGTGTGGTCTGCCTGCCTGCCACATCTTCCCAGCCTTGCCCTCTTCCCCTCCCTGCAACTACGTCATCCTGGGCTGCTGCCCTGCAGCGCTATGAGGCACTGTGTTCTCTTCCCCATGCTGCTCTCAGCTGTCCTGCTCTCTGCATGGCTGCCTAGTCCCTTGGTGTTCCCAGGGCAACTAGAGATCCCAACCAGAGTCCCCCTCCACACCCCATTCTTCTTGGGGCTTCACACACCCCTGACCCTGGCTGGCAGCTGGGGCCGGCTCCAGCTTCCTGCCAGACCTTGGTGACCGGGTGAAACAGAAGGTGGGTGTGGGGATAGGGCTCAGGCTGACGGCGCCATCTCCCCGACTCTCCCAGGCCTAAGGGACAGCTGATGTGAAGCCCGGAACTCTGGCTTCCTCCTGAAAGCTGGCATGACTTGCAGGGAGGAGTCCATCCTGGCTCTGCCCTCTGATTGCCCTGGGTGGGCAGACGTGGATCTGCCCAAGTTCCCTGAGCCTTGGTCAAGTGCAGTAAAAGCAACAAAGTGACTGGGCGTAGTGGAGCAGACCTGTAATCACAGCACTTGGGATGTTAAGGCTGAAGGACTGAGTTCCAGGCCAGCTTGGGCTGCTTAGTGAGAACGTATTTCCAGGTGGTGCCCCTGTGGCTTCTTCCCCTCCCGCTGTCTAGTTCCGTAGCAGTGGGCATCCCCAGTCTGTGCCTTCCATTTTGCCAATGACTCCTGAGGGCCACATCTGTCACTTTGCTCCTTCCCCAGTGCCTCTCAGCCAGTCCACACCTGACTTGTCCCAAACGAAGCTCCTTCCTCAATTTCCTGCCTTTACCTGGTCCCTCCCAGTGTCTCCAGCCCACCCGGTGCTCCATGGGCTGCTGTCTTCTCTCCACTCCCTACCCACCATCTGCCACCAAAGCCCGCTCCCCTGTGACCTCTGGGCCCTACCTCATCCTTCCTTCTTTGTCTTATCACAGCAGCTCCCTCCTGAGTCCATCATCCTCCTCAGTGACAAAAGCTCTGTCCCATCCTGTCTCATCTTGTCAGATCCCCACGCTGAGTCCTTCCCTAGCTCTAAGACCCACTGGTCCCTCCTAGCCTCTGGGTGCCCATCCCCCACCTCAGCTGCCTGGTTGACCTGGCAGTGTGGGCTGTGCCTCCCCTCTCCCACCATGTCCCCTGCCAGGCACCCTGCTTTAGGGCTCCCCAGTGGTGCCATTGAGGTCAATCCCTGGGGGCTGTAAGGCAGGGGCTGGGCTGAGCCCACCTCTTGGTGCTGTAGGGTGTGGCAACCTGAGTGCCAGGAACCCTGTGGCAGAGGGATGGGAGGCGCCCTGGGGACAGTGGCCTTGGTGGAAGCCAGGCAAGGTCGTGGTCGGTCTCCCCAGCAGCAGTGTCCTTGCTGAGATGCTGTCTCCTGGCAGGAGGTTCCACTGGGTGGCCGGGGCTCATTCGGGTCAGGGCGCCCATTTCCTGGTGCCACCTGTCTTGCCCTGGGGCCTCACTCCCTGACCGGAGATGGGCTTGCCACTGCCCCATTTGGCACCTGCTCCCATCTGAAGGGGCCGCCCATTTTGGCCCAGAGCCCTGGAGCTCATCCCCCACTGAAGCTGTGGCCCGCCTCCCCCCAAGGCAGCTGAAATGGAAACCTGAAATGCAGCCTGAGTTTGTCCCTGGTCAATGACAAATTGAAGACAGTACAAAGGGGGCCTGTTGGTCTCAAGGCCGCCTGTCCCCTGCTGAGCCTGACGCCTGGGAGCCTACACATGGCACGGAGCCTCCTGAACGGTCCTGGTGAAGGCCAGGAGTTGTGACAGTCCCAGGCACCTGGGGATGCTCCTGGGTTTGTGCTCTTAGTCATCAGGACCCCACAGGCAGCCATATTTGGACCCCTTTCCCTTTCCACAGCCGGTGAGACAGGCTTTCCCCGGGGCCATGGTCCCACAGCCGCTCATGGTGGGAATGCCTCAGCCTTCCTACACACCCCGCTGTTCTCTGTCCCATGAGCTGACTGAGTCACACAGGGGCCATCAGCCTCCCTCCTTCTTCCTGAAGCCATTCTCCTCCCCGTTCTCCCTCCAGTGCTGCTGGGGCAGGGGCTGCGCCCCCTCTGGGACCCCCGAGGTCTCCCTGCAGAGGGAACTGAATGCCGGCTTCGTTCTCCCCTTCTGCCAGCTTCCTGGTCTCCTTTGTCAACCGTGGCAAGCGGGCACTGTCCCCAGAGGCCAGGGGTCTCAGGATTGCTTTTCCAGGGCTGGGCTGGGCTGGCTGGGACATAGTGAAGGACCAGTCCTGGGCTTGTTCCACGACTGCCACTCAGCTGTGACTTTGAGTCCCTGAAATTTTTGAGCTTCAAATATTCTACTTGGACAATAACTGTTACCCCATCAGGGGTACCCCAGGAGGGTACCTGCGGGAGCCATGCAGGGAGGAGTGTCCCTGGAATTGTGGCCCCAAAGGTCTTTGTCCTTTGCACCTGCCCTCAGATGGAGCCCCTGGAGTCATGGGCTCTGAGCCAGCACCATGGCAGTGCTGGGTTGTCAGAGAGGAACCTAGATTTGCTGCCTCAGTTTCCCCATCTAGAAAATGGGTTCATGACAGTCCCCTGCCTCACAGGATAGGGAATTCCAGAATCCCCTAAAGGTTCTGGGTCAGCTTGGGGAGCACGGGGAGCTGGTCAAGTCCCCGCTCCTGGTGATGGATGGCAAGGCGTCACCTGTCCTGTCCTCTGCCCACAGGTGACTGAGGATGGTGGAGAGAATGTGAGCCTCCGCGTGGCGCCGCCATGCAGAAGCCCAGCGGCCTGAAGCCCCCTGGTCGAGGGGCGAAGCACTCCAGCCCTGTGGGCAGGACGTCCACTGGGTCGGCTTCATCCTCTGCAGCACCAGTGGCCACTGGCTCCAAGGAAGGTGTGTGGGGCCAGGGTGGGGAAGGGGGCTGGGCGTGGGGGAAAGGGCTTTTTTCTGGAAGCGCCCTGGGAACACCGGCTCCACGACCAAACTGCAGCCAGTGGTTCATTGGAAACTCTTTTTGGTGTTTTGTTTTTGGTTTTGTTTTCTTTCCTGGGTGGGACTGGGATATGAACTCACGCCTTTGCACTTGCAAAGCATGCACTTTACTGCTTTAGCCACACCTCCAGTCCATTTTGTTCTGGTTATTTTGAAGATGGGGGTCTCTCAAACTGTTTCCCTGGGCTGACCTCAAACCTCAATCCTCCCGATCTCAGCCTCCCAAGTAGCTAGAATTACAGGCGTGAGCCACTGGCATCTGTCATTGCTTTTGTTTTATTGAGATAGGGTCTCACTACACAGTCCAGCCTGGCCTTGAGCTCTCTATTCCTCTTCCTCCACCTCTCAAGTGCTGGGATTATAGACGTGTGGCACCATGCTCAGCTGTATTTACTTGTTCTGATGTAAAATATTTAGAAAGTTTGATACAGAAATAAAACTGCACAAACCCACTCCCTAGGGGCAACTACAGTCATCTGGTATCCACTGCAGATGGGGTCCAGGACCCCCCAAAGATACCAAAGTCTGCTGATGTTATTTGCATTAAACTTGGGCACACTTCAGCTGGGGTCTAGGCGCTTCTTATACTGGATACAAGGTAAACGCAAGGGAAATTGCTGCTACCCTGTATCGTTCAGCGATAATGACAAGAAGAGTATTTTCCCCAGCATATTTTCTGTCTGCGGTTAGTTGAATCTGCAGGTACAGAACCTGTGGATACAAAGGGCTGACTGTAGGGCTGGGGCGTGGCTCAAGTGGTAGAGAGCTTCCTAGCAGGCACAAGGCCCTGAATTCAAATCCTAGTTCCATCAAAAACCCACAAAGGCTGGGCACAGTGGCTCACGCCTGTAATCCTATCTACTCAGGAGGCAGAGTCAGGAGGATTGAGATTCAAAGCCAGCCTGGGCAAATAGTTCACAAAACCCTATCTCAAAACGCCCTTCACAAAAATAGGGCTGGTGGAGTGGCTCAAAGTGAAGAAGGCCCCGACTTCAAGCCACAGTACCGAAAAAACAAACAAGAAACAAAGGGCTGTGTTGTTGTTGTTGTTATTTTTTTTTATTCTGAGACAGAGTCTCGGTATGTAACCCAGGCTAGCCTCAAACTTGAGATCCTCCTGCCTCAGCCTCGTGAGTGCTGGGTTTACAGGCGTGCACACCATGCTCAGATTTATATCATTATTTTGGATATGTTCTACTTTTTTTCGACAGTCTTTCAATTAACAATGCATATGCTGCTTGAAAAGTTACTTCTTATCTTTTAGTAAAATCAAGATTGTTTTTCATGTTGTTAAAAACTTTGCACATCTGTTATTTTGGCTGTAAAATATTGTGTTCATTCAGCAAATATAAATTTCAGGCCTGCTGGGGTGATGTCCTGGTCCTCCCGGGGCTCCCAGTCTGGTGGAATGGTTGAGTGTCATGTGGTCTAAAACGGGCCTGACTGGGTCTGGGTGGGTGGGCAGCACAGGCTTCCCTGAGGGGACGCAGGAGGTGAGGTCTAGAGGGTGATGGTTCACCAGGTGAAGAGGGTGGAGGGACTGGCATGTGCAAAGGGCCTGTGGCAGAAAGAGCTTTGTGATGATAAAGAAGTGAGTGGGTCAGGATGGGGGGACAGCTTGGGATCAGGTGCAGAATTCTGCTGTCATACTAGAGGGACTATGATAGCAGGACTGGAAACACTTCTTATCCATTATTTAATGTGAAGATTCTGATCACTTCTTATTTCTCACCTTATAAATAACTGTGATGAACTTTTTATTTTGGCAACACTGGGGCTTGAACTCAGGACCTACACCTGGAGCCACTCCACCAGCCCTTTTTGTATTGGGTTTCTTTGAGATAGGGTCTTGAAAACTGTTTGCCTGGCCTGGCTTTAAACCTCAATCCTCCTGATCTCTGCCTTCTGAGTAGCTGGGATTACAGGTGTGAGCCACCAGTGCCTGGCTTAATCCTTCCTTTGCTTACACTCCAGCCAGTAGTATCAAACACTGCCCATCTTGTTGGATTCGTACCAAGGATTGATTAGAGACCAAAGCCAGCCTGAGGTCAGATTGGACAGTCTGGACCCTGGGTGGTTGGTTAAGGAAAGTGTGAGCCAAACAGGCAATGTGGACAGGTGAGGAAGCTTCGAAGTATAGCCAGGGCGGATCCTGCCAGGCAGGCCCTCCCCGAGCTGCCCAGGCCAAAAAAAAAAAAATGAATTGATAAAAAACAACCATCGCCCTTAGCCCTGTCCCTTGCTGAGTACCTGCTTAAACTAATCTCAGGTGTCCCTGTTCTGTTTCCTTCTGTTTTTTCTCTCATGGTGCTGGGGTTTGAACTCAGGGCCAACACCTTGAACCACTCCACCAGCCCTTTTGTGATGGGTTTTTTTGAGATAGGGTCTCTCAAACTATTTGCCTGGGTCGGCTTCGAACCTCGATCCTCCTGATCTCTGCCTCCCGAGAGCTGGGATTACAGGCTGCACTACCCTGCAGATACTTGGCCTCATTTTCACCCGCTGCTTGATGGTCCCTGCAGTGAATAGACCACAGTGTGGTCGACTCGTTGTTTCCTTGTCCAAGTGTTGTTAGCCAGGTGTTCTGGAAGCTCTTACAGATGGGAGCTGGGTGATCTGGCTCTGCCTGGGCCCCACTTGTCAGAGGCTGTTCCAGAGAGCGAGGTGTCCCCCTAAGCCCTGCTCCCATGTGGGGACAATGGTGGCTGAGGCTACACCGGGCTTGGTGCCCTCCCTCACCCTCCCATCCCCATAGCTGCCTTCATAGACCAGAGCCAGACTCCAGGCTGGTGGGCAGCCAAACCCAAGAAGGGAGGGGCGAAGAGAGGGGATGGGGAGCCGCCTTTGTGCCTGCTCCAGGGTCTTAGCAACGAGCTTGGGATGAGGGGGCAGCTGGAAATGGCAGGGAGGAAGGTCCCCACTCATGCTGGTTCCTCAAGCTCCCCCCTCTGCTTCTGGAATCAGCCATATTTCCCTTGAAATGCTGGGGTGCCCACCCTACAGACATGGAGCCCATTTGGGGGGCTCAGGTACCCTGGGAGGGGGCTGGCAGTGGTTTGGGGAGGCAGGAGTGTGAGCTGGTGTCCTGTCTGAGAAGGAGGACAGTGGCTGCCTCCCAAGGCATGAGCTCAGCCTCGGCAGAGAGCCTGGCAACCGAGAGGCCTGGATGGAGTCTCCACTGCTGCCACTGCTGCTGCTTGGAGCTGAGCAGCGGAAGGGCGGGGGGCTTTTGAGGGGTCTCTCACCCCAGAAGGAAGCCTAGGGTAGAAGGGAGATGTGGTCAGGGCAGGTGGGCCGGCGGGTGGTCTGGGTGGAGCGTCCGGGCTGGCCACCTGGAGGGTGGCCCAGGAAGGCTTGCAGGAGGGGACCCAATGTAGGAACCTGGGCATTTGCAAGTGTCCTGGGGCAGGAGAAAGGAGTTCAAGCCTCCAAGCTGGCAACCCAGGCTACTGCTGGAGGGTAGCCCACCTTCCATTCGGGAGCAGCCCACCGTGGCCAGGCAGGTCCTCTGCTGCCCTACCTCATGGAAAGGAAGGGACCATAGCAGGATGCATACGAGCAGTCTCCACCTTTCTCTGGGGTCTGGCTCAAAACCTCAGGTAGAGATGGATGGTGGTGGCTCCCACCTGTAATCCCAGCTACTCAGGAGGCAGAGATCAGGAGGATTGTGGTTCAAGGCTAGCCCAGGCAAATAGTTCACAAGACCCTATCTTGAAGAAATCCTTCACAAAAAAATAGGCTGGCGGAGTGGCTCAAGATGAAGGCCCTGAGTTCAAGCCCCAGCACCACAAAGAAATAAAGAAATAAATAAAAACTTGGTAGAGGCAGGGCAAGGGGTCCCTTTGGGCCCCAGGAGGAAGGATGGGGCTGCAGGGACCCAGGTGAGGGAGGGTTCCTGGTGCTGCTGAGCAGAGGGACAGGCTCTGTGCCACTGTCACACCCTTTCTGATGGGGCAGGAGGATCCTTAAAGGGCTCCCTGGTCCTTCATGTTACTTTCCAACCCAGAGAGGTCCAGTGCCATCTCGGGAGAGACAGATTTGCTGCCCTTGTCACAAGTGTCTCTGCAGTGGGCAGTGGAGAGGCTATTCACCACTGTAAAATGTGTCCATTTTACAGACACAGCCGGGGCCTGGGCAGCTGGGTAGCCCAGAGTTACAGGGCCAGAGAATGGCAGGGCTGGCACTGAGGCTTCTGTGCAGGACCCAAAACTGGCCGTGGGCCTCTGACCCCTGCCATCCCCTCTGCCTGGGGTGGGCTGCCTGTGGGACTGAGCGCGCCTGCTCTGGGTTGCCCCTGGATATAGGACTCACACCGGTTGGTCCTCAAGCCTTTCGGTTGTGACATGCTGAGCCTCAGTGCCGTGCCGTGCAAACCAGGGCTGGACCAGGCCTCTGGGCACCCTTGCTTCCTGCAGCCAGCACTGGTCCCAGGCAGTCAAGGTCAACTTCAAGGCCAGCGCCTGCACTTCCCTCCTCAACCGCATCTAAACTTTCAGATGCCTTCAGGATGGGGAAGCCATGCTGAGCTTTTCTGGGGTTTCGTGGTGGAGGCAGGGCAGCCTGACGTCGGCCACTATCGATCTGGGGGGCAGGGGACTGGCCAGTGCTGCCTGCCCGGTGGCCAGGTGCAGGGCTTCTCCATGGGGAGCTGGCTCTGTTCTTTCCAGGGTAAGTCACCCGCCTGCATCACCCTTACCCCAGCTTTCCCCAAGCTGTCTGTCAGGTAGAGGGTCTGTCCTCCGGGGGGAGCAGGAGTCATGGAGGGGCTTCTGGGGTCTGTTTGGCTCTGGAAAGAGGATACTAAGCAATCCTGGGTGGATAGAGGGTCCTTGCTTCAGGGATGGGGTGTAGAGGCAGTGTCACTGGGGAGATGACATGGGGAGGGTGTGACCAAGCTGCCTTGAGAGGGCAGACTTGGTCCTCCCTGGAGGCTGGGTGGGTGGGCACTGTCGGAGGGGCCCACCCCAAGTGAGGACCGGTGAGGGGAGGGGCTCCATTGACAGGTGCTGTGCAGACCCCATCCCTTCCTTGTTGACCTCTGCCTTGGAGTCATTCTGGGGAGTGGAGGACGTTCAGAGCAAAACGCTACTTGGATTTTTATTTATTTATTTATTTTTGCAGTACTGGGGCTTGAACTCAGGGTCCACATCTTGATCCACTCCACCAGCTCTTTTTTGTGATGGGTTCTTTTTTGAGATAGGGTCATGGTTTTGAACCATGATCCTCCTGATCTGCCTCCTGAGGAGTTGGGTTTACAGGCGTGACCACTGGCGCCTGGTTGCTTGGGGTTTTATTGATGTGGGTTCCTTAGGGACCCCAGGGAGGGAGGTGACCAGGTTGTATTTCAGCCCAGGCCTGGGACTTCGGGGGCTCGCTGTGCGTCTGTCGTCCGGGACTCAGGTCTGCTTCTTCCCTGTTTCCTACTCCAGTCCTCCCACCCTGACATCTGTGCCCATGTGCTGGACGTGGGATGCTCTTCAACTCTGCTTTCTTTCTGAGTAGCGCGTCACCCACACTTTCCACGTAACCTGGAAATTTTTTGGGGGGGGGATGGGACTGGGGTTTGAATTCTGAGCTTTGCACTTGCAAAGCGGATGTTCTGCCTCGTGAGCCAGTCCTTCACTCTCCGTCCTGTTTTTATCATGTTTCATCCATTTTGTTTATTTATTTTTTTAGCACAAGGGTTCATTGTAAAAGTCAAAGGTTAACACAAAAAGCGATTTGCAATTCTGGAAGTTATGATGCTGGGGAAGCAATGGTGTGATTGCATTTCTCTCCTTGTCTTTTGTTTATTTTGCTTTTTTTGAGATATAATCTTGCTAAGTAGCCCAGGCTGGTCTTGAACTTCTGACCCTCCTGCCTCAGCCACCTGAGTGCTGGGATTATAGGCATGCACCACCACACCTACTCTGTTCTGATGGCCAAACTGGGGAGTGGAGGACAAGGGAGAGAGGGGTCCCTGAAGAAGGGAGCGAGTGAGGCGGGAGAGGGTGGCAGACATGCTGGCTTCTAGGTCTGGGGAGGGGTGGCTGCAGCCAGCCATTGCCTGAGTTTCTGGGGCCGGAGGTCATGGGAGACCCCACCCAAGCACTCTCTCTGTCCACGCCAGGTCCTTGGTCCCATGCATGGGATATGGCCAGCCAAATTGTAGCTGCTGGCCCTCACGCCTGTCACTGAGTGGGGTCCCAACTGGCTGAGGCTTGACAGGTTTGGACAAGGCCTGTCCCCACTTCCCCAGGAAGGGCCATCCTCATGGGGGGAGGGGAGAGTCCCTTCTCTTCTGTCCCCCTCCCCTCGCTAAGCCCTCTACCAATCCACCAGCTGCCACCATTCCGCACTGTGTCCTTTGAACTTGACATCCGCAGCTTCAAGCTCCGTTGTGCGTTTTGTCTGTGTGGGAGTTGCTGTTGGGGAAGGATCAGCGGCTCGTGTGAGGTTTACGTCTGTGTCGCTGGCCATCACAGTGGCCCTTTTACTTTCCTGGGAGTTGCTGGGCCACTGGAGCTGGGGACCTTGGGGACCCAAGGGCCAGGCCCTGTCCTCCTGGGAGCCTCCAAGATGCTCAGCTGCCACTGAGGCTGTGAGCTGGGGAAGCCGCCCATCAGCGGGTCTCACAGGAGTGACCACAGTTAGCTTCCCTGGTAGCAAAGGATGCATAGAATGTCAGTGCACAACAGGACCTGAGCTGTTTCTTTTTTCCTGTTTTTGGGTGGCACTGGGATTTGAACTCAAGGCCTGTGCTTGCTAGGGAAGCTCTCTGCCACTTGAGCCACACCTCCAATCCTTTTTGCTTTAGTTATTTTTCAGAAAGGGCCTTGTGCTTTTGCCCAGGCTAGCCTCTCACTGTGATCTTCCTACCTCCACCTCCTGAGTAGCTGGGATTACAGGCATGTGTAAATGCCCAGCCCTCCCTACTTGTTTTTGGCTTAACCATTTGCTGTCCCATGGAGAAACTGAGGCACAGATCTGGGGAGGGGCTCAGGTAGACCTAGCCAGTGTGTTACAAGTGCCTCTTTGGAGGGATATGTGCTGTGCCCAGGGTTCATCTACTCTTCCAACCTCAGGCAGCTGGAAGCTTCTGGCTTGTGTTTGTGGGGTGTTTGATGAGGGTTTGGTTCTGCTGCGAGGCCCCCTATAGAGGAAACATGAGCAAAGAGACTATATGCAGGCGCCACAGGCTGTGACCTGGATTTTAGCAGCTGTTGAAACAATTGGTCCTCTGGCCTTTGACCCCTGGAAGGGGCAGGGGCTGGAGAGAGATTACCTGAGGGTCCCTTGGGCCAGGACAGCTGGGAAGAGGGACAGCTGAGCAGCTAGCTTCATGCCAGGAATAGCCACACTGGGTCCTCCTCAACCTGAGAAGCCTTCTCTGCTCTCAGGAACGAGGACAGGAAGAGATATGCCATTCTGCCTCAGCAAAAACTTCCAGAAACACACAGGGATGTGGGCCATGCCCAGCAACCACATCTGCATGGTCAAGAAGGCAGGCTCAGCCAGGCGCTGGTGGCTCACACCTGTAATCCCAGCTGCTCAGGAGGCAGAGATCAGGAGGATCGAGGTTTGAAGACAGCCCTGGCTGATAGTTCCCGAGACCCTATCTCAAAAAAACCCTTCACAAAAATAGGGCTGGTGGAGTGGCTCAAGGTGAAGGCCTGAGTTCAAACCCCAGTACTGCAAAAGAAAAAAAAAAGAAGGAGAAGGAGAAGAAGAAAGGCTCAGTTTGGGCGTGGTGGTGCACGACTATAATCCCAGTTACTTGGGATGACAGAGACAGGAGGATTTTGAATTCAAGGCCTACCCGGGCAAAGTTAGGGAGACCCCATCTCAAAAACAAAATACAAACAGAAGGGCTGGGGGTGTGGCTCAGAGGGTGGAGGCCTGCCTAGCATGTGTGAGACTGTGGGTTCAATCTCCAGTACTGCAAAAAAAAAAAAAAGGAACAAAAAAGCTCAAAGAAGGTTCTGGAGCCAGAGCCTGCATGGCTGTAGCTCTGTCCTCGAGAGTTGGCTCTGGTCAGGCAGGGAGGGGCATGACGGTCCCCTGAGAGCATCCAGCCAGGCTTGGGCAGTGGGAGCCACTGCCTTGTGGCCCTTCCTTTCCAGGGGAAGGGACCAGAAACAGATGGTGGCCATCTGTTCCCATCAGTAGGTCACAGGCCTGTGAGCCCTGGAGCTGAGGATTCTCTAGAAGATTCTGTGCCACATACTCCGCTTTGGCAGGAAGAGGGGGACAGCCAGGACAGTGTGTGCAGATAGGTGACCCCAAGGGACCCAGCACCACATGGCTCCGAGTGGGGTTGGGAGCCAAATACACTGGAGGCTCAGTGGGCACCAGCCCTGCTTTGTCCTCGCGTGAGTGACCTTGGCCAGGCTCTTTCCTGGCCTTCATAGGAAGCACGATGAACCCACGCCTGGGTAGCAGGCACCTCCCTGGATTTGAGCCCCATTTGTGCTGTGCAGCCTTTGGGCAAGACCTGTACCTCTCTGAGCCTCAGGGTTGTTCTTCCTGTTAGGAGAGGCTGATCAGGGGACCCCTAAGGCCAGTTCAGACCAGTTCAGCCCCTGGAGTGGCGAGGGTGAGGTGCCTGCTTCCACCTGCTCTCAGTCCCTTCTCCTTCCCTGGTGACCCTGGGACAGACCCCCAGCCCTGGCTGCAGCTTTGGGAAAGAAGGCTCATGGACTGGGTCGAGGGTTTCTTGGTACCTTCCTTACCCTTGGATGTCCTTGGCGAGGAACAGGTCGAGAGCCTTTTGTGGGTGCTGGAACTGTCCAAGCAGGGATGGGGGCACAGACAACCATTACCTCCACGTCAGGGCCCACACGGGGCCCTGGGTTAACAGCTGACGGTCCAAACCCACTGGGTGGCTTGCAGTCCTTAGGTATGACTGTATCCCTGGCCTCCAATGCCCAGTGACCTTGGCGATTGGAAGATGTTGCTTGTGAGAAAGCTCTTCTCTGAGTTTAGAACCTTCCAGAAGGCCTGGAAGAGTAAGTGGAGAGGTCCAGAAGGAATGAGACTTGGACAGAGTGCAGTGGCACACGCCTGTAATCTCAGCTGCTCAAGGGGCAGAGGCAAGAGGAATGTGAGTGAGTTCAAGGTCAGCCTGGGGCAAAGGTAACAAGACCCTGTTTCAAAAATAAAATACAAGCTGGGCACCGGTGGCTCACGCCTGTAATCCTGGCTTCTCAGGAGGCAGAGATCAGGAGGATTGCTATTTGAAGTCAGCCTGGGAAAACAGTTTGAGAGACCCTATCTTGAAAACACCCATTGCAAAAAAAAAAGGCTGGTGGAGTGGCTCGAGCAGGAAGAGCACCTGCCTAGCAAGCGTGAGGCCCTGAGTTCAAACCCCGGTGCCACCAACAAACAAACAAAAGGTTGGGGGTGGGCTCAGTGGTAGAGTGCTTGCATAGCATGCTTGAGGCCATGGGTTCAATCCCCCGCACGCCTGCCCCCTCAAAGTAAAAAAAGGAATGGCGCTCATTCAAGGCCACGTGTGCCTCAGTTTCCCCATCAGATCACCACCACGGGCACCCACCCCTGGTTGCCAGGCCAGCCCCCTAACTGCACCCTCCTTCCTGTCCACAGGTTCCCCACTGCACAAGCAGGCGTCAGGGCCACCGTCCTCCACGGCCACAGCCACCGCCCCCGAGAAGCCGGGCCCGAAGGTGGCCGAAGTGGGTGATGACTTCCTGGGGGACTTCGTGGTGGGCGAGCGGGTGTGGGTGAACGGCGTGAAGCCCGGCCTGGTGCAGTACCTCGGGGAGACGCAGTTCGCACCGGGCCAGTGGGCCGGGGTGGTGCTGGACGACCCGGTGGGCAAGAACGATGGCGCCGTGGGTGGCGTGCGCTACTTTGAGTGCCCAGCCCTGCAGGGCATCTTCACCCGGCCCTCCAAGCTCACCCGGCAGCCCGCGGCCGAGGGCTCGGGCAGTGATGCCCACTCGGTGGAGTCACTCACCGCCCAGAACCTGTCGCTGCACTCAGGCACGGCCACCCCACCCCTGGCCAGCCGTGTCATCCCGCTGCGGGAGAGTGTCCTGAACAGCTCGGTCAAGACGGGCAACGAGTCCGGCTCCAACTTGTCCGACAGTGGCTCTGTGAAGCGGGGTGACAGGGACCTGCGTCTGGGAGACCGAGTGTTGGTGAGTGCAGGTGACATCAGAGTCCATCCAACCCTTCATACCACCTGGGCAAGCTGGACCCTGGGGCTGGGTGGGGAGGGGACTTAAAGGGGACTTGGACATGGTTTAGGTTGCTCAGTAGCACCACAGATAGTGACAAGGAAAGCAGGTCAAGTAGGTGATTGCTGTGTGACGCTGGGCCAGTGTCTTAACCTTTCTGGGCCTTAGTCTTCCTATCTGTTAGTCAGTTTTTGTAGCTGTGACAAAATGCCCGAGCTAAACCATTGCTTCAGTCCGTGTCTGCTGGCTCCATTGCTTTTAGACCTGTGGCGAGGCAGGGCATTGTGGTGGAAAGGCAGGGCTTCCCTAATGGTGACTAGGAAGCAGAGAGACAGGGGAAGGCTTGGGGACAAGCTATCCCCTTCCCAGCCACCAGGCCCCGCCTCCCAAAGGCCCATATGCGGCCATGACCTCAGCAGTGGATTAACCCTCGATAAAGCCCAACCACTCTCCACAGCGCCACCTGCTGGAGACCCGGCTTTCAGCACACGAGCCCTCTGGGGAACACCCTATGTAGATTGCAGCACCATGTGTCACCCGGGAATTTGAACACCCTCACTTGCAGGCTGCAGTTCGTGCAGGCGGTGCCTTAGTTAGCAGAGACCCTGTGGATGTGACCTTTGCGACATTCCCCGTTGGGTCCAGCTGCTAACGTGGGTGTGCCTGGGAAAGGTTGGGGACGGAGTGCTCAGGACGCCTGGGCCAGGTGGTACAGACACCCCAGCGGGTACAACCTGCACCATCACCTGTCAACTGGACGGTGGTAATTGCGGCTGGGGGAATCAGGTCGCCAGAGCCCAAGGCTTTCCTGCAAGGTGCCCTCTTTTCTGGTTGTCCCTGCCGTTGGGGACAGTGCCTCACAAGTCCTTTAGAGTCTGAGTGCGTTCCTCTTGGGCACCTGGTGTGGGCCAGCCCAGGCTGGGTGCCACTTTGGACAGGACGGAGACTGTCCTGGTGTGTCCTGGCTGACTGCACTCCAAGGACCACAGTACTGAGAGAGATACCTACATACAAGGAAGCCTGAAGGTGACACCGGTGACCTAGTATGGGTGGAGGGAGCCAAGAGTCCCCGTTTCCTGGCCTGGAAGAGTGGGGCCTCCCACCCCTGGAGCTCGGAGGCTGAACACGGAAGGGCTGGGGGACCCTGAACAGGACCTCAAAGGTGTCATGTTGGGATCCTCCCTCCCTGCTCTGGGGACCTTGTCCCACAGGGCCAGGGTGTCACCTAGAGGCTTCCGGGAAGAGCCCTGGAGTGGGGTATGGCAAGTGGAAGTGTTTCCACCCTTCCCTGTCACACCCTCGGCCCTCGCTGTGACATCGTCACGCAGATGGAGAAATGTAATGACTTATCTGAAGTGACAGCTGCACCAAGATGCATAGCAATCCCCTGCCTGCCTGTCCTCCTGTCACTAAGCCAGGCATCTCTGTCTGGGTCTCTTTGCCCACCCAGGGCTGGTTCGCAGCCTGGGTCCCCATGGTGGGCTGGCAGTGGGTAATGGCCAGACTTAATCCAGGGGAGTGAGGGAGACCACAGCCCATATGGTCACAGGCGTCACTGTCACCATGCAGACTGCACTAAGTGCTGTGAAAATTTGGTCCACAGTGTCTAAGAGTTTGCCACAGAGGCCTGGCCTGAGGCAGGGGTTAGGACTGACCAGTATATTAGTCAGATTTCTGCTATTATAACGGATACCTAAGACAATGAACTTACAAAGACAAAAGGTTTGTTTGCCCCACAGCCTTGGGGGTTCCAGTCCATGACAGGTTGAACCTATGGCTTTGGGGCTGTGGTGGCACCTTACAGAAGAAGCAAAACTACTCACCTCATGACCAGGTGGCAAAGGACAGAAAGAAGAGCTGGGGACCAGTGGCTCACGCCTATAATCCCAGCTACTCAGGAGGCAGAGATCAGGAGGATCAAGGTTGGAAGCCAGCCTGGGCAAATAGTTCATGAGACCCTAGCTCGAAAAAACCCATCACAGAAAAAAAGGACTGGTGGAATGGCTCAAGGTGTGGACCCTGAGTTCAAGTCACAGTAGTGCAAAAAAAAAAAGAGAGAGACAAAAAGAGAGACTGGGGTGTCCCATAATCCCCTTTAAGGCCACGCCCCCAACGACCTAGAAACCTCCCACTAAGCTTCACCTCTTAAAGGCTCCACCACCTCACCTCCCCACAGTGCCAAGCTGGGGACCAAGCCTTTAGCACATGAGCTTTTGGGGAACTTTCTAGTTCTAGACTATAGCAGGCAGCCATTGGCCAGGTGATAAGGACAGGATATCTCCAGCTGTGGCCAAAGAGCAGAGAAGGGGAGAGAAAAGCAAGGCAGTCACATGGGTAGCAAGAGGGAGCCATAGGGAGTAGCCCAAGACACTGGCCTGGGAGACCCCACAGGACTTGGGGCCTGGGGTGGGGGTGGCAGAAGCCAAGACTGGCCGTGTAGAGAAGTCACCTCGAATTCTGAGACCCAGGATCCAACTACTCACTGACTAGGTGAAGACAGGGAGCCCCAGAGAGGGTGTCAGCTTGCTTAGGGACACACAGCACCTCATCGGCTGTGTGAGGTGAGGCTGGGACGGAAGCTCTAGGGTTCTACCCAGGCCAAGCCTGCACCTCCCATATCCACCGTGCCCAGTATTTCCAGGTGGGGGCTGAAAATGTCTTGTCACCTACAGGTGACAGTGTGGGGCACGATGAGCTTGGGAAATAGACGTCCGCTCAGGAAGGAAGGCTGGCTGCTTGTGTTCTGGAATGTACCCAGGGAGACACAAACCGGTGCAGTGAGAAGGGAGGGGAGCACTTGGACCCCCAAAGACGCAGGGTGGTGAATAGGCCGTCTCAGTAGGAGTCAGAGGTCGGGGTGTGGGGTGCTTCTGCGCAGGTGGCAACACAAGGCAGACAAAGGCTTGTCATCCTGGGGTTGGGGACTCTGGAGTGAGGCCTGTTCCTCCTCGCTGTGTCCTGGGCCGGGCACCCTAGGAAGGTTGCAAGGCCGGGCAGTCAGCTCCGCGGCAGAGCGGGCGTTCCTCAGTGGGGTTTGAAAGCAGTACATAGGCGAAGTCTTGTTCCTTCCAGTCGTGGCCTCAGAAGTATCCTGAGGTGGGGACCCAGAGGCCTTCCCAGGACAGCCCCTTCAGTGACCTGCAGACTGGGCCACAGCAATGTCAGACAGCCTCCTTCCTCCCTCGCAGAGCGCATCTCGTACATGATGTCTGCCCACACCTGGGCAGGCCAGTGCCGAGGGACCCAGCCTGGGACGGGGGGGCCATGATCAGGCCTTGAGTGTCTAGGCTCCAAGCTGTCCACAGGACCCAAGATGGTGCCACTGCCAGGTCACTTCCCCACCGTGAGGCTGAGATGTGAGCCAGGCATTGTCACCGTGGAAAGGGCAGCAGAATGGTGGACTGGCTGGCTTTGGAGCTGTACCGTCCGGGCTTGGTGCCTAGCAGAGTGTCGGGCAGGGTGCAGGACTTCCTTTTGCCACCTTGGAAATGGGGCCAGTGTTCACAGTTTGCAAGGTCATGCAAATCTGGTGGTGAGATGTGGCACTGTGGCGCACACCTGTAATCCCAGCACTGTGGCGCACACCTGTAATCCCAGCACTCTGGAGGTGGGGCAGGAGATCTCAAGTTCCAAGACACACAGACGCCTGGTGTGTAGGAAGCCTTTGGGAAAGCTGGTTTCCTCCCTTGCTCTGGGCCTCACTTCCTTCCCTGAGTCTTCAGGGCCAGGGGACATATGCTGTGATGTCCGGTGTGAGGTCAGACTAACCAAGAGGACTGTGAGGCCTGGGCACTGGGGGTGCCCTGAATAACAGACTTGGCTCTACTGAGCCGCCCTGGCTGCCCAACCTTTGTCCCCAGGCACTGCTGTTAGGGGCAGAGTTGCCTGTGGCTTCCTGTTCCTGTGCGAGGCGTGCTGACCGTGTGGCAGAGGGCCCAGAGCCTGGGCACTGGCTTTGCCCAGCTCCCACTTTCCTAGTGGGGGAGACCCACCCTGGGCTAAGAAGGCTCTGGAACGTGTGCCAGGATCTGTCATGCTGGCTCAGCCCGTAGCCCCTTGGCCTGTCCCCCAGCACAAGGTGAGTGCCCACCCGGGAGGGTGAAGGCCCAACTCCCTGTGATGTGCTGGCTGCGGAGAGCAGTGACTGGGAGGTGACAGGCCCAGCTGGGCAGCGGCTTGGCCTCCCTGAGCCTGTTTCCTCTGCCATAATTCTCATTTATTTTTTTTGCAGTACTGGGGTTTGAACTCAGGGCCTACACCTTGAGCCACTCCACCAGCCCTTTTTTGTGATAGGTTATTTCAAGATAGGGTCTCGCAAACTATTTGCCCAGGTTGGCTTCGAACCCTGATCCTCCTGATCGCTGCCTCCTGAGTAGCTGGGATTACAGGCGTGAGCCCCTGGCAACCAGTTTCTGCTGTAATTCTTCATAACACCTCTCTCTGGACCTTCCTGACATTTGGCCCCTACCTTTCATTCCCAGCTGATGACAGTTCTGTACTTTTTGGGGAAACTGAGCCAGTTGAACCTCACAAAAGTGGCCCCCACCAGTCCTGATCCTGGCCACCCTTCCCAGCTGCCTCCTGCAGCCAGGCAGCCTCCTTCTTTCCTTCCCTCTCCTCTCAACTCCTCCTGCAAACCTCCCCTCAACCCATGTCTGTGGCCACAGACCCCACCTCCCTCTGTCTGTCATCATCTCCAGTCCCTGGTATCTCCAAGGTCGCCAGGATTCTTCATATTCCAAGAACAGTGGTCACTTCCACCTCTCAGTAGAATCAGCCACTGACAGTCCTGTCCCTCCTTGCAGAGCCTCCCTCCACTTCTAGGTTGCTGCATACTCATGGGACTCTTTGCTCTCCTCCCGGCTCCATGCTGTTCCTCCTTGTTCCAGCTCTGCTCAGAACTCCAGGCCTCCGTGTCTCTCCCCTCCCTCCGCTGGGAAGGGATGGGGCATGGGTGTCAC